AGCTGGCAACCATTGTTGGGAGTGCAACTACAATTTTGAGAAAGGGATGGGAATTGAACTGCTGATAGTACATAATACTCCTCCTCTGGACCATTTCAATATGGCGAATGAATTTTCCAACATTACTGTTTCTGTTGGCTTCTCTCATCCTTCCCTGAAGCATCCCATGTGAATTAAAGCAATTTTCAAGTTAAAAAAGATTATCCCTTTTCTTAATTAAAAACTGAATATCTTCAAGTACTAGGCCAGATACCTCAAGAATTTGATGAAAACGGGAGATATCATCTGGACCCATCCCGGGAGGGCAGCTGATGTAGAAATATGGTTCAAATCCATGAACATTACAACAAACACTGTGTCCTAACAAACAAACAAACAAAACATCAACTCATTATATAATGCCTATAAGGCACTACATGATTGAGAGTCATAATCATTGAGTACTATGATAGCTTATATATAATTTTACACAAACTTATTCAAATAAACACTTGAGAAGTTCTACTGAAACATAGATAATTTTTGGGCACTTATATTGATACATGTAATGTAACTGGAAAATTAAAATGTGAGTAAGAAGGAAACTGAGTATGAAAGAAAGTAAAATCCTTTCATGCTTATGTCTTCAATTAGACAGTAAGTAGCTGGGATGTTAATAGTTATGCAAAATGGACCTGCTGATCTGTCAAAAATACAATTTGGAGTTCACAATTCATATTATTTTCTCACACTGTTAGAGCCTGTTTATGAAATATTATGTAAATCATGAAGTTGGGTTCTATTTCAGGCATAAAAAAATATATTTAGCAGTTTGTCAGAGCAATAATGTGCCCTATTCTGAATTATTGATCACTGCATATTTGGAAAACTAATGATAATTAAAACTATGCCTAGAACGTAACTATATATGAATCTTTGCAAATCTTATTTGGCACCTGAAAAGATGTAAACAGAAGAAACGAACCGAAAACCAAACAAATCCAAATATATATGATTTTGTTTGGTTTCCTTTAGGTAAAAAAAAGTTTGGTACAGTTTTTATTTATGAAGCCAGAACAAACTTGTTTAATTAGTTATATATTGTATATAACTTACTTGTTTATGGATAAGATAAGAAATGAAAATATTCGACGAAAGATAGGAATAATACCATTGGTTGAAAAGATGAAAAAACATAAATTGAAATGGTTTGGGCACATAATGTGAAGAACCCTAAATGCTCCCGTAAGAACAGAAATTTGTTACTAAGAGCTTAACACAGAGAGGAAGAAGTCGACCAGAATTTATTTGGGAAAGATAGTAAAACAAGACTTAATGGAGTGGGACATAGATCGGTGGACGGTGTTTCTTATGACGGATTAGAGGAAAGCTATTAGCATTGTGGAAAGTTAGACCCGTTTTTCTTCTGATATTCCATGTGGTCCCTTTTTAGTCATTTTTCTTATACATTCTTTATTTATTTCTTTACCTCTCCCTTTTTTTCATCTTTCCTTTTATTTCTTTCCTTTCTTTTTTTCTTCTCTTATTTATTATATACTTTTTTCTCTTATTTCTTTAATTTTTTTATTTATTTTTGGTTTTACTTTCTTTTTTCTTCGATGTATTTTTCTCTTTTATTTATCTTTATTTTCACTTTCTTTCATTTTATTTTTCTTTTTAACTGTTTATTGCTATTTTTTTATTTCTAGTGTTACTTGTATTTTTTTTTAAATTTATTTTTATCCTTTTTATTTTTTTCCCTCAATATTTTCATACTTTAAATTTGGGTTCATCTGCCACCGACCACAACTAGTTTGGGATAAATATGTTATTGATGTTGATGATAGATCAATAGATTTGAACTTATTTTCATTTTTATGAAACTTTTTAGTTTAATTTGTTATTGCTATCTATTAATTATGTTTTTCATAAGATTTCTAGGCAAATTTGTTGTTGAGTGGATCATGTAATGAAAAAAAAAAGTCAAGTCAAATAGGTGTTTATCAAAGAAAAAGTGGTTGATCAAAAACTGATTGGACTGAACTGAAACAAACCAATTAGATTGACTTGGATTAATTCAGCTCGCCAATTAGAAGCAAACCAATCGGTTCCCAATTTTGAAAAACTTACTGGTTTGGGATAGATGGCTTTTCCCCTCAAAACCAAACCAAACCAAACTACAAACACTCTTAATAGTAACAATAATAATAATTGATTTACTGATTGAAATTACAATCCTGATGCTTGAGAACTGACAACAGAAATGCTCAAATACACCTTAAACTAGAAGTGTTCATCAACCGATCCAAAGTGATTTAAACCGCGGCGACTGAACCGAAAAACTGATAACCAAAAAATCGAAAATCAAAAAAAAAAAAAACGCATATTTTAAATGGATTGGATCGGTTTTCAGTTTGGCTAGTGAAAACCGATCCAATCCAAACCGATCCATCCAAATACAGAAGTTACTAACAATATTTTATTATAATTATTTTAGATGTTTCTCCAAATATAGAAGTTCATGATATTTTGGTGCATATTATGATTAAAAATTGATGATGTAAGTTGCTATTTTTTAATTTTAATCGTTCATGTATTTATTTTAAATTTGTTGTTGCTTAAACCCTCTCTTAATCTCCTATTTTCTAGTGGTTTGTAACTTTGAATGGCTTCATTCTGATATAACTAGTGATTTGTATGGTTGAAATTTTAGATTTTTCGAAAAATCATAAACCGATACAATCCAATCCGAATAAAATTGGATTGAATTGGATCGGATTTGAAAAAAATTCAAACTGAATGGATGATTAAATGATCAAACCGAAAGGATTGGATCGGATGAGTTTTTCTTCAGTCCAATCCAGATCGCGAACACCACTACCTTAAACTAGGGTTGGTCTCTTTTATACTTCTAAGCTCTAAACCGATCAATCATTCCCTTGTCAAGTTAGACATTCAGCTTTTCTTCCCTACAAGGCTTTTTTTCTTTTTTTTACTGAAATGCAAAATTATAAATAGATAAATCTACAATTTGTTGATTTCCATTTCTCTAAGCAACCAAACGTTTTGCAGTATGGAAGGGAACAGAAAACACGAGCTAACCTTCCTGCGTAACTCCAAATATTCTAATAATGGCAGCAGGTCCAGACCTGTTCGGCAACAGTTTTTTATGACTCTCTCCAATCACATAATCAATCTCCAGCTGCTGAAAAACTAAAACTCAAGAATTGAAAGCCAAAAAAACAAAACAGAAAAAGTCAATCAAATTCCAACAAGAAAAAAAACCCTAAACTCTAGTATCAACGCAAAAGGGGAAATAATTAACAGGAACTGCTACGGTGCAATTACTCACGGACGCTACGAGATTGAGAGAGGTAATCGGAGGAGAGAGGAGGACGCGTCCACTTGGAGAGACGAGAGGCGAGGGCTCGGCGCTGCTCAATGTCGCGGAGGATGAGGGACTCTTCGTCTTCTGAAACAAGGGTTTCGTCCAGGAACACGTCTTCGTCGACGAACTCATCTTCCGGGGACAAGGCCTGCCTCGCCGGTGGGGGTTGCGACGGCGGTGGCGGAGGCCGCTTCCGTGAGGCGTTTTTGTTCATCGGATGGTTGGAATCGGAAGAGAGAGAACGGCGCTGTGAGAGTGAGACTGTGGGAGAGTCAGGGTAGTGAGGTTCCCGCCACTTTATTTTTTTTGGGGGGGGGGGGGGGGGTTATTGGGCTGTGAGTTTTTCCCGCTTGCGAGGCACGTGACCCTCACCTGATTACGATTTACCAGCAAGACTCCCTAATCCGGATAGAATTTTAAGCGGTCTCGCTACATATAACTTTATGGTTTATCCAATAAAAAGCTTACACATAGATTCATTTATCCACGTTACTATAGTGGCTTGTTTTTTAATTTTTTATTTATTTATAATATTTTATTTCATTTTTCTCCTTTTCTTTCTATTTTTCACTCCCGCCTCACATCTGTTACTCTGTAAATGAAGTTTTCGATTTCTTTCTCATCTCTCTCATTGTTTTCTATTCCTTTCCAAAGCTTTCAAAGAGTAAGAGGTGAGTGTGATCATTGTTAGCTGGAATTTTTTTTCTCATTTGTCAGAGCATTTACCACTTTGGTGCATCAAGAGCGAATGTGAACCTTAGTCCTGTGGGTCTTCATCTGCGCCCGGTAATCATTACCTTTCAACTCCTTTGTACTTTGGTGCTTCATATTCGATTATGAACAACATATCTACGATCAATATTTAACCAGTGATTAAAATAGCTAAATGTGAGTTATCACAAATTACATGTTAACTTTGTCGGATTCATTTTTTATGATTTCTTTTATATAGGATGAACCTTGCTTTACAGAACTTAAAGTTTGGTTTTCAATTCATCATTAAAAACAAATAGCAGCATTTGTTGTTTTAGCCTTTGGTTTTTATTTTAAGCTAACTCTTTTCTCGGATGGTAATCTTTTATTTTAAGCTAACCTTATGCATCTTTCATGGCATCACGTTTTCCTTGTTTGATTATGCAATAACTTTTGTTATTTTCAATTTAATTTCCATATATATTGTAAATTTATCATCAATAAAGCTAAGGTTCTGACTATTCGAGCATTCTATATTCTTTTCCTTGTTTTTATGCTTGTAATTTATTTCTATTATGGAATGCCTTTTCGATGTGAAGTTATGATACAGGAATTGTTAGTATACTGTTTGGGTTTTGTATGGAGTTAATTGTCATCAGTTTATTTGCCTGAAATGTTTTACAGTGCTAGGGACTCCTTGTGCTGCAGGTTTGTATGTGAAGTGCATAGGTACTCATATATTCTGTTAGCTGTTGTTCCTCTCAATGCTATATTCCTATACTAGCTTGAGTTGTTCAAACTTTGGTGAGGAATTTTGATTTAAATTAGATTTTTATTTTTATAATATGCTTGTTTGTTTAAACGATTTTTCACCCTAAGTTTGACTTTTCTGGTCATCTATACTATGTAAAATGGTGATGTTTTTGTAGGATTTCTGTAGATGGAGGAAACAGGCACTTCTGAAAAAGAAATGGATAATTTTATATATTCAAAGTTGTCTTCATTTAGTTCTGACAGTGAATATGGTGATGAACAAAGAGAGATGTCAGTGGTTGTGAGTAAGGATCAAGATGGATATGAACCAAAAATTGGAATCATGTTCTCCAACGAAGATGAAGCTTATAAGTTTTATAATGGATATGCTAAATTGGTTGGTTTTACTGTGAGAAAATCAAAATATCGAAGATTGGCAGATGGAACCATAAGTCAGAGAACATATGTTTGTGGAAAAGAAGGATATAGAAAATTGAAGGACCCTTTACATGTTAACAAGAAAAATAGAAAAGAATTGTCAAGCTATGATACGTTTTAACATTGAGAAGGATACTTGGATTGTTTCTAAGTTCATTGCAGATCATAATCATGATCTTGTGAAATCACGTGCACGAGCTATGTTAAGATCACAAAGGCAATTGGATGAAGCACATGCTAACATGATTGAAGATATGGACAATGCTGGATTAAAACCATGTAGTGTGTATTCATATTTTGTTGAAGCTGCCGGAGGAGCTGAGAATGTTGGATTTTTAAAATCTGATTGTAATAATTTTTTACAAAGTAAAAGAAACAAGACCCTTGAAGCAGGAGATGCACAAAGTGTTATTAACCATTTTAAAAGTCTTCAAGCAAATGACTCATCCTTCTTCTATACAATGCAAGTGGATTGTGAAAATCGCATGACTATGTTTTTTTGGAGTGATGGCATATCAAGGACAGATTATAATCACTTTGGAGATGTGGTAATTTTTGACACAACCTATAGAACAAACAAGTATAATATGACATGTGCACCTTTCATAGGGGTAAATCATCATAAACAAAGTATTTTGTTTGGCTGCACTTTCTTATTGAACGAGACAACAGAGTCTTTCGTTTGGCTATTTGAATCATTTTTGGAAGCAATGAATGGGTTGCAACCTAAAACAATTTTCACTGATCTGTGTCAAGCAATGGCGAATGCTATTAAAAGAGTTCTTCCTGACTCTCAACATCGACTTTGCTTGTGGCATATTGGCCAAAATGCTGCTAAGCATCTTTCTTATTACTTGAGAAAACCTGATTTTAAGGTTCTATTTAATAGGTGTCTCTACAATTGTGGATCAGAGCAGGAGTTTGAAGAGGTTTGGTCTCATCTAGTCACAAAAGTTGATAATTCAAAATGCTCATAGTTGAAAAAAATTTATGAGTTACGAGCAAATTGGTGTCCGGCATTTAGTAAGAATTATTTCTCAGCTGGCATCTTATCAACACAAAGAAGTGAGGAGTATGAATAATGTTTTTCGTACTGTCACTTGCAAGACGATGTCTCTAACTCAATTTGTACTTCGTTATGAAAAAGTTTTGGAGCGTAGACGATGGTCAGAATTGCAAAAGGACTTTGAGTGCAATCAATCCGCACCTCCTAGAGTAAAAAAACTTGCAGGTATTAGAATCTTTATATGTGACAACTGAAAAAAATGAATGAAAATGGTATGGCTGAATTTTTTTTATTTTATTACAGGTATGGCTGAACAAGTTGCACGAGTATATACTCATGTTACTTTTGCAGAATTCTATGAAGAATTGTTTGAATCTTTATGTGTGGCAATTGAAAAAATAAATGAAAATGACACTTTGTTTTGTTACAATCTAGTTAAATCTGGTGATCAGAAGCAATATTTTGTGACATTTGAAAGTGCAAATTGCTCTATTGAATGTACTTGCAGAAAGTTTGAATCAGTTGGCCTCTTATATCTTCATGCACTGAAAGTACTTAACTTTCACAATATTTTTCAAATACCGTCTCAATATATCTTGAAGAGGTGGACAAAAAATGCTAAAGATGGTTTTAGTATAAGCAACAATAGCAAACAGGTTTGCAACAATGGTAAACAAGGAATAAATTCCTGTATGAGTCAAATAATGAAGAAAGCCATTTATTTTGCAACCAAAGGTGCATTGACAGATGAAACAATCACAATGGCTGAAGATCACCTAGAGCATGGGATAAAAAGATTGGAATTGATTTAAAAAAATACTAGTGGTATGATTGATAAGACTGCAGTTGACTGTAAGACTAGTGATGGAGAGATAGATGAGCATAACACATTAAATTCAAAAAAAGTCTTAGATCCGCAACTTGTTCGAGCAAGGGGAGTTACAAATGCTAGACTCAAAAGTCAGCTGGAAAAGAAAAGGTGCAAGAGACATCAATCACAAGCTCTTGGTAAACCTCAAGCTGCTAATACATCTAAATCTCTAAGACATAATCATGTTGATTCAGGTACAATGAATCAATTAATTAGGATCATACTATTTATTTATTTATACGTGATTTTATTATTATTGTTGTTATCTTCTTTTGTGACTTAGGAAAAGCTTCAAGTACGATAGCTAAAGATTCTAGCACCTCTTATATAGATCTATCAGCTCATGATTTTCCATATATCTCTCCATTGGCAAATGCTAATACAACTCCACCACCTTATTATTTTCCAAATGTTTCTCAAGTGACAAGTGTTAATACAACTGCACCAGTTTTCTGTGTTCCATATATCTCTCAACTGCCATATACGCAGGTATTATTATATAATAATATCTTATGATACTATTGTAGCTCCTGCAAATGATGACTGAAGATGTGCTTTATACTGGTTGTGATTTTATATCATAGAAGACTAACTTATTTCACTTTTTGGTTGCGAACTCTTTTTTAGGATGAACATAACTTAAGAGCTCATAGAAGTCCTGCAGGCTACCATAGAGGTTGACATGCAATATTTTAGAGGTGGTGGAAGCTATCATGCAAGCTTTTTTGAATGGTAGGAGGTCATGCAAGCTTTTTTTGAATGGTAGGATGTCTTGCAAGTTGTCATGGAAGTTTTTTTGGAATGGTATAAGGTTTAGCAAGCTGTCATGCAAGCTTTTTTGAATGGTAGGATGTCTTGTAAGCTGTCATGCAAGCTTGTTTGAATGGTAGGATGTCTTGCAAGCTGTCATGCAAGTATTTTTTGAATGGCAGGAGGTTTTGCAAGCTATCATGGAAGCTGTCATGGAAGTTTTTTTAATTGGTAGATAGCTGTCATGCTAAACTGAACAGAGACAAGACATGATTTGTTTACATGTAAATGTTGCTAAAATGTCAGTTCATGCAATAACTTATACAGATAGATGATGACTGGAGATCTAGGAGATTTTTATTTATATATTTTTACATCTGCAACAATGATATGACTGTGGGGTTGTCCAATTAAAATGAGGAATATCCCAATTTCCCATATTCTTGGCTCCTTCGATACAAAATATTGGTTGGAAATTAAATTTAACAAAATTCATGTTGAATGGTGTCATATTCTGCATTTAAAAGAAAAATTCTAAGCTTCAATATTGTTACAAGATCCATTTATTGAACAATATGTCAAATGATATATAGTGGACAATGTTACAAGATTTTGAATCATATTACAATGGTACATTATGTTTTTGGATGAAAACTTCCTTTTTTAGATCAATCTCCAAATACTACACCTAACAGGACAAAAAAATATACAAATTCTGCTCCAATAACTAGTGGTAGGCTGATCAACATTTACCATCTCCTTGAACTTGTATGTAAATCTTGAACTTGTGGGTAAATCTTTTCTGCATTGTAGAATGATCCCATCATTCTTGTAGTTTTGTAGTTTTCCAAAGGAAAGCAAGTCTCTACGAAAATTCAAAGTATCTTTCATCTGATATAAAATAGGGAGAAAAATAGAACAAGCAGAACATATAAAGGACATTTGACTTTAAAGCTCACATCAACATCCAACAAGTTGCTGCAAGAGCCAAACCAACCAACAGTTGCACATGCACCATCATATACACATGGTCAGGTTGATCAACCCATAATATAGAACTCACAGCAACCAAAAAGTGACAACAAGAGTATTCATTCAATAATAAGAATGGAATAAAACACAATGATGGAAAAGAAAAAGGGCAGTACAATATGGAATTCCAAAACAGATGCAGTGATATTTCCGTCTGATTCTTGGAAGACAAGGAAGTATCATTTGTTTGACCAATTCAAATATATTTGCAATTGAAGTCATTACTACAAAGTAGCCATTCAGGTATATCAGACATCTTGAGGATTACATAGCCTTAGAGCTTAAGACAGTTAGACTACTCTAGCCAAGGATTTACAACCAGAAATGTTTAGAATTAAGGCATGATTTTGCTATGCACTATATGGAGTAACATTTATCATTACGGCAAAATGCACAACCAAAAGTGAAGTGCTGATGTCAATCAAAATCAGCAACACACCATTAAGAATTGTTAGGTCCAAAAATTTATCATTGTTGGGGTCTGAAATCTCTAAGAAACCTTGATGAGAAAACTGTCAATTCCACAGCAAAATATTACAACATCAGATGCTATTGTATTCTAAATATATTTACAGCAATGCAACCAGGCATAGTTCATATATATCTATATATATATATATATATATATATATATATATATATATATATATATGTTCTCCACCTGAGGATTAGGACACGGATGAACATCTTTCTTAGCAGATGCATCTCCACCCTTGGCCGAACCCTTGGTATCACCCTGTCATACCACAATTTGACAAGCCATAACCATAATGTATAAAAACTCATTAGAAAAAGTGTCATTACACACAAACAATCACAAAGTGGAATAGCTATTTATTTATAATCACCTCAATCTGCAACATTCCCAATAGACCAACGAGAAATCCATACGAAAAAGAAAAAAAAAACATCAGTGAAAAGTAGAGTTTAACAGCAGCAAACCAAAACAGCATGTTGTATTAAATGTAAATGTAAATTACCTCTCTGTATGCGGCGAGGTAGATCTTGAGAGGTTCGATATAATCTTCGAAACCAAGAGTGGCCATAGCCCAAAGTAAATCGTCGCCGCTGATGTTCAAATATAATTTCTTTCTGGCATTTATCGCTCGCCCTGCGAAACATTAAGAAGATTAATTCATTCAACCGAATCACAATTAAAGCACGAACGAGTGAATGAATTTTGGTTAATCAAGATAAGAAGAAGAAGAAGCGAACTCGCTGGTGAACTCAGAAACGTATTCCTGTACGGTCTCCCTAAACCGAGAGCAGGAACGGTACCTTCCAAAGGAGACAATACATGTCATTTGACATATTGTTCAATAAATGGATCTTGTAACAGTATTGAAGCTTAGAATTTTCCTTTTAAATGCAGCATATGACACCATTCAACATGAATTTTGTTAAATTTAATTTCCAACCAATATTTTGTATCCAAGGAGCCAAGGATATGGGAAATTGGGGATATTCCTCATTTTAATTGGACAACCCCACAGTCATATCATTTTTGCAGATGTAAAAATATATAAATAAAGATCTCCTAGATCTCTAGTCATCATTTATCTGTATAAGTTATGTGCATGAACTGACATTTTAGCAACATTTACATGTAAACAAATCATGTCTTGTCTCTGTTCAGTTTAGCATGACAGCTATCTACCAATCAAAAAAACTTCCATGATAGCTTGCAAAACCTCCGACCATTCAAAAAATACTTGCATGACAGCTTGCAAGACATCCTACCATTCAAAAAAGCTTGCATGACAGCTTGCTAAACCTTATACCATTCTAAAAAAACTTCCATGACAGCTTGCAAGACATCCTACCATTCAAAAAAAGCTTGCATGACAACTTGCATGACCTCCTACCATTCAAAAAAGCTTGCATGACAGCTTCCACCACCTCTAAAATATTGCATGTCAGCCTGCAGGACTTCTATGAGCTCTTATGTTATGTTCATCCTAAAAATGAGTTCGCAACCAAAAAGTGAAATAAGTTAGTCTTCTATGATATAAAATCACAACCAGTATGAAGCACATCTTCAGTCATCATTTGCAGGAGCTACAATAGTATCATAAGATGTTATTATATAATAATACATGCGTATATGGCAGTTGAGAGATATATGGAACACAGAAAACTGGAGCAGTTGTATTAACACTTGTCACTTGAGAGACATTTGGAAAATAATAAGGTGGTGGAGTTGTATTAGCATTTGCCAATGGAGAGATATATGGAAAATCATAAGCTGATAGATCTATATAAGAGGTGCTAGAATCTTTAGCTGTCGTACTTGAAGCTTTTCTAAGTCACAAAAGAAGATAACAACAATAATCATAAAATCACGTATAAATAAATAAATAGTATGATCCTAATTAATTGATTCATTGTACCTGTATCAACATGATTATGTCTTAGAGATTTAGATGTATTAGCATCTTGAGATTTACCAAGAGCTTGTGATTGATGTCTCTTGCACCTTTTCTTTTACAGCTGACTTTTGAGTCTAGCATTTGTAACTCCCCTTGCTCGAACAAGTTGCGGATCTAAGACTTTTTTTGAATTTAATGTGTTATGCTCATCTATCTCTTCATCACTAGTCTTACAGTCAACTGCAGTCTTATCAATCATACCACTAGTATTTTTTAAAATCAATTCCAATCTTTTTATCCCATGCTCTAAGTGATCTTCAGCCATTTGGAATTTATTCCTTGTTTACCATTGTTGCAAACCTGTTTGCCATTGTTGCTTATACTAAAACCATCTTTAGCATTTTTTGTCCACCTCTTCAAGATATATTGAGACGGTATTTGAAAAATATTGTGAAAGTTAAGTACTTTCAGTGCTTGAAGACATAAGAGGCCAACTGGTTCAAACTTTCTGCAAGTACATTCAATAGAGCAATTTGCACTTTCAAATGTCACAAAATATTGCTTCTGATCACCAGATTTAACTAACTTGTAACAAAAACAAGTGTCATTTTCATTGATTTTTTCAATTGCCACACATAAATATTCAAACAATTCTTCATAGAATTCTGCAAAAGTAACATGAGTATATACTCGTGCAACTTGTTCAGCCATACCTGTAATAAAATAAAAAAAATTCAGCCATACCATTTTCATTCATTTTTTTCAGTTGTCACATATAAAGATTCTAATA